CAATATCCATACTGATACGGACACACATAAGTAGTCACCTGTATATAAGGTCATCGAAAAACTCATTTTCAAGGTCAATCTTCAGAAAATCTCATTTTCGAACATATTTTGTAATTTAAAATAAAATAAATGAAAACCTAATTGTCACATAAATCAATTAATAAATCATGTCTAACCTATAAATTGGTTCTCAAACTCAAAAAAAAAAATACTATTTTAAATATACTTTTTTACATCAATTTTTATACTTTTGCAATACTGTCTACATATTTAACAAATTTATAAATGATTACTGTATATTCCATGTAAAAGAGTAATAAATTTATTACAGGTTATGATTATAGTAGTCGTAATATTTTTTTTATTTTATACGTTTTATAAAAAGAATAATAAATTAATAATTCATACACAACACATAAAAATACATGTTAACATAAGAGAAATGGACGTCGATTGGAGTGGGTCATACACATTTTTTTTGCAGTGAAATGACCAACACATAAAAATACATGTCCAATATTATGTCATATAAGATGCAAAATTAGACTTGAATGCAAATAAAAAAGACCATACACATTTTTTTGCAGTGAAATGGACATCGGTTGGAGTGGGTCATAGCTGTCCTCGCAATCAGCCTTTCACACTATAAAAACCCCTCCACACCCATCCCTCGAAACCACACCAAAACGACATAAACATAACAAAGCAGCCACCGCACTTGGATTTCTCTACATTAATATAACACATAAGAGAAATCCAGAGAATGAGGGACGCCCTCCAGATCTCCGCCTTGCCGGAGGAGCCCAAGTTCGAGCTCCCCGTGGACTCGGAGCACCGCGCCAAGACCCTCAGGATCTTAGAAATCCAGAAAATGAGGGAGGCCCTCGAGATCTCCTCCTCTCCGGAGGAGCCCAAGTTCGAGCTCCCCGTGGACTCGGAGCACCGCGCCAAGACCCTCAGGATCTTCTCCTTCGCGGGTCCCCACATGCGTTCGTTCCACCTGGCCTGGCTCTCCTTCTGCACCTGCCTCGTCTCCACGTTCGCCGCCGCCCCGCTCGTCCCGATCATCCGCGACAACCTGGGCCTCACCCGCTCGGACGTTGGGGCCGCCGGCGTGGCCTCCGTCTCCGGCAGCATCTTCTCTCGACTCGTCATGGGGTTCGCGTGCGACCTCGTGGGCCCACGTTACGGCTGCGCCTTCGTCAACCTCCTGGTGGCACCCGTCGTGTTCTCGGTTGCGCTGGTGACTGACGCGGGCGGGTACGTGGCGGTCCGGTTCATGATCGGGGTGTCCCTGGCGACGTTCGTGTCGTGCAGCTACTGGACAAGCGTCATGTTCGCGGGGCCCATCATAGGGACTGTCAATGCGGTGGCTGCCGGGTGGGGGGACATGGGGGGCGGGCTCACCCAGCTCATCATGCCGTTCCTTTTTCATATGATCAAGGTGGCGGGGGCCACGCCGTTCACCGCGTGGCGGATCGCCTTCATGGTGCCGGGCTGGCTGCATGTCATCGTCGGGGTCATGGTCCTTACTCTGGGCCAGGACTTGCCGGATGGGAACCTTGCCGCCCTGCAAAAGAGTGGCGAAGTCGCCAAAGACAAGTTTTCCAAGGTTATTTACTTTTTTTTTTTTCGATTCGAATCATTCGATTAACACTTCATAATCAAATTGCTTGCATACATATTTTCCTTCTTTTCATCATTTTCTTGGTGTTGTGTTTCTAGGTATTCAAGCATGCTGTGTCCAACTACATAACGTGGGTGTTCTTCCTCGTCTACGGTTTTTCCATGGGAGTCCAGCTCTGCTCAAACAATGTTCTTACCGAATACTTCTATGACAGGTATCTTTGCACCTATATTGGAGACAATAATTTGATAACTATATATGTTAAGTCATGTTTTTCACTCTATTCATTCTTCTCAGGTTCAACCTGAAGCTCCACACCGCGGGAACAGTAGCCGCAGCCTTCGGCATGACCAATTTCTTCGCCCGGCCCCTTGGCGGCTACGCCTCGGACATGGCTGCCCGGAGGTTCGGGATGCGTGGCCGCCTGTGGGTGCTGTGGGTGTTCCAAACTCTGGGGGGCAGCTTCTGCATCTGGCTGGGGAAGGCCGAGTCCCTACCCCTAGCCGTACTGTCCATGCTCCTCTTCTCGATGGGGGCACAGTCCGCCTGCGGTGCCACCTACGGCATCATCCCCTTCGTCTCCCGACGGGCCCTGGGCCTCATATCGGGCCTGACGGGGGCAGGTGGCAACTTCGGGGGCGGCCTGGCCCAGCTGGTGTTCTTCTCGTCGACCCGGTTCTCTGCAGGGGAGGGGCTGACGTACATGGGGATGTTGGCGGTGGCAGGGACACTGCCGGTGGCGCTGGTCCACTTCCCGCAGTGGGGGAGCATGTTTGTGGGGCCGTCGGAGGAGTGGACGGAGGAGAGGTACTACGAGGGCGAGTGGAGTGAGGAGGAGAGGGAGAGAGGGCTGCACCACGGGAGCCTCAAGTTCGCCCACAACAGCCGCACCGAGAGGGGGAGATCAAGGGCCGTGGTCGCCGCCGCTTCTGGGACACCCGGCTCCACCCCGCTCCATGTTTAGTCATAATAATTCGCATATATAAATATTATATTCTGTCGTTTGCGACATAAAATAATTAGATGCTTGGCTGAAAAGGATAAAGTGGAGAAAAAGGCGATTAGCAGCGATATGCTTATATGTGCGGTGATAGGTTGCACATTGGCGTTTTCTAATGCCTGTCGATGTATGTAGTGTCTTTTTTGTAATTTCACTATATACGTACTGAAATTTATATTTTGCAGTATTTTTCATTGTGTGATAATTACATAGTTTTGTGACATTTAAATCTTCTATCTTCTTTAGCAGAAATCGTCTGCCTGTGCACAAAGCTAGAATCTGTCATTTGTTAGGAGATATTCAGCTTCACAGATCTACTAGATATACCTAGGATTGTGATGCAGACCCTAGTAAGATATTGTCCGCTTTGGGCTACTTCCGCCACCCGCACGGCTTTGTTCTTGGCTGGGCTTCAATACACACCCACCAAAACGCGTCTTACTAGTGAAAGTATCCACATCCTCATATAAGGCCTGCTTCGTTTCCTTTCAAACCCGATGTGGGATGCGCTGCATCATCCACCCCCCTTGTGGGCCCAGCGGTCACCGCTGGCACATGGGCTGGCTCTGATACCAACTGGTGCAGACCCTAGTAAGATATTGTCCGCTTTGGGCTACTTCCGCCACCCGCACGGCTTTGTTCTTGGCTGGGCTTTAATACACACCCACCTAAACGCGTCTTACTAGTGAAGGTATCCACATCCTCATATAAGGCCTGCTTCGTTTCCTTTCAAACCCGATGTGGGATGCGCTGCATCATCAATGGTGTAGAATAGTATTATTATTATTATTATTATTATTATTATTATTATTATTATTATTATTATTATTATTATTATTATTATTATTATTATTATTATTATTATCTTGAAGAATAAGTTAGGAATTAAATATTAGAGATCTTGTCTTGTTGGACAAGTTAAGAATAATGTTTAGGAGTCTTATTTAAAGGGCTCCCCTATCTATTGTTTTATTCAGTTGAATATGAAATAAGAATTGATTGAGTTTTGTGAGTTTTACGTGTTTTACGAGAGAGTATCTCGTTTACTCGTTTTATCCTTCCCATTCGTACGCTTTCCCTACATCAGTTGGTATCAGCAGTCAGTACGATTCGCGATGTCGCCGGGACGAGAAGATGCGGCAAACAACCAACGTGATGCCACCTTCCACGATCGGTTTCAACAGATTGACTATCGATTTCAAGAGTTGGACGTGCGTTTCACGAATTTGTTTGCCGATCTTTCGACGGGGATCGAGGATTCGCATTTGACGCTTAACAACGTAGTTGTTTCGGAATTGCAAACGAACCGCGATGGAGCTGTGGGCCGTGGCTTTCGCGGGGGAGACAGAGGCGGTTATGGGGGAAGCAACCATGTCGGGGAGCCCCGGCAGTGGTCCCCACCACCTCTGAACGGCTTCGTGGACGGCTACGATCAACGCGACGACAAAGGCAGGCGCGAGGAGGCTGTCTTCGCCGGCGGATATGGGGCCCGACGCGATTGGGTACATGATCACGAATATAGTCCATGGGAGGGCCCGTTTCGTGTAGACATCCCCGAATTCGACGAAGAGAATGTTGACGGGCCATTGTACGATGGTCCTCCTGTGTTTGATGAAGGGCCCGAGGAGGTCGAGGAGTGTCTTACCGGCGAAGTGGACGGTATCTACGACGGTCTGCCTATTTTCGATGAAGAGCCTGTGGGGCCCGAGGTGACGCTTTCTGATTTTGGCTTGTGTAAGCCACTGGAGAAATATATGTTACTAGAAGTTGCTGATTTTATTGCTCCATACTCTAAAAATGAGCACCACGGGCATTTGGGCGTAGAAACTGCGCTACAACAGTGGAAACGCAATCATCGTTCATTGGCATGTCGCAAGATAATAAATTGGAGACCATGTTTGAAGTTCGATGAACAAAAGATGTCTTATGAGGCTAAAGATCTGATCCTCCATTTGTTATGTGAAGTTGAGCGATGTGTAACAACAAATTTCGTGAATTGAATTTAAAAAAACACGAAAAATATTATTCAAATGAATTTCTTGAATCAAAATAAATATTGCGGGTTACAATCTCTATTATTCCTGTGATTCTTCTCACAAACAATATATTAAGTCTTGGAGCGAAATCTTCAGCTTGATCTTCTCCTTGACTTGATTTGACTTGAATTAACGTAATCCGAGGGCTTGAAAGCTTTTTCCCGGATCAAACGTCAAAATATCCCAAGAACGCGAAGAACACGAATCCTTGGTCTTCGCCGCAAAGTTGATCTCGAATCTTCTTCACGCCGGTTCTGAATTTACTAACGCAATTCGGAGGCTTGGCAGCTTGTTTCCGGATTGAACGCTAGTCTTGAGGTTGAACGCGCTTGAATCTTGCTTTGAGTCTTCAAGAACGCCTTTAAATCTTCAAGAACACTTGAATCTCGTCGAGAGATCTTGAACTTAAACTTGAATATGAACGTAATTCGGAGGCTTGGTAGCTTGTTTCCGGATTAAACGTCGATTTTGAGCTTGATGTGCTTGAATCTTCCTTCGAATCTTCAAGAACGGAAACGTCGATTTTGAGCTTGATGTGCTTGAATCTTCCTTCGAATCTTCAAGAACGGCTTCGAATCTTCAAGAACACTTTAAAACTTGTAGAGAGAATTCTCTAGAGCTCTTGAATTTCAAAATATGAATTATGATGTGTGTTTTTGACATTAGGGAGAGCCCCTATTTATAGGTGTAGGACGGAGATCCTTACCAAATTTAAGAATCGTAGGACGCAATTTGATTGGTCCATGATGATTCACATAAGATCTTCAAGATCCACTTAAATCTTCCAAGATCTTCTAGATCCACTTAAATCTTCCAAGATCTTATAGAAGATATGATTTGTTTACCAAGAATAAGATTTGACACTTGGCATTATTTGATTGGTCAAGAATTAAAATATTAAAATATCAATTAATTAACTATTTAAATTTAGGAATTAAATATATGGAAATTCCTAATATATAAATAGAAAATATGACTTGATTTTTTAATAAATTAATTTCCACGTGGCGTCATTTGATTGGACAAAATTTTTATGTCTCTACAAATGCCCCCTCGAGACTTGTTCACGGACGATGTGTCTTGGAGTGAATAAGTCGCGACATCATTTATCGGGCTTGGAAGACGTGACATAGAGTTACAAGGTCCAAGAGAACTCATATTGATAAACTTGTCATGGTACCAGATAGCCCAAAGCCTTACCCATTTAAATGGCATATATTGGGCCTTTGATTAATTAAGCCCGATAACAAATTATCATCCATCTTGAAGTGGAAGCCTTCAGCAAATGCATATGATTTATTTCCTTCTTGTCAAATAAGTTAAGCCTGAAAACATTAAAACCATGTGCACTAATTATTATTGAACTTTTCTGTGAAGCTTCAAATAATTAGTTTCCAACAATATTTGTATGCCAAGCAAAACACATAGTAACATATGTAATGTTTCCACACTTATATACATCTTTGCTGGCAACGAAATTCTTTCCAAACTTCAGGCTTTTGAAAGCATGCGCGATGAGACGATAGATCATGAAAGCAATATTTTGTTTCCAACTTCCAAACTCTGACTCCATATCAAATTCCTTCCCATATTAGGAGAGAAAAATTCCAAAATCATACAGGCTCTCTCCTATAAAAAGGGAGTCCTTTGGCCTCGTTATCACCCAACGAGAAGCATAACCAACAGGTATACTTCTTTCTTCTTCCCCTTTTTTTTTGCTTGCTGCTATATGGGGATACTTAGGAGCTGCTATTGATGTTGTTGTGTTCATGCTGCAGAATTTGGGAGGCTTCTACAAACAATTCCCATCAACTTCCAGCTTTTATACGGCTGTTTTCTAAGCGTTCGATCAATTGCCCGAAAGGTACAAACATACTTTACTTTCAATATTCCTTCTTTTTTTTTTTTTTTTCTGTTACGNTTTTTTTTCTGTTACGAGTATTGCTGTCGGGACCGTTCGAGGGATGTTCGGGCATTTACCGGGCTGAAACGAGGTCGTTCGGCTGCTACCCTGGTGCTGTCCGGACTGAACCAAGGCTGTTCTGGGTGAACCAAGGCTGTCCCGGGGTGAACCAAGGTTGTTCGGAGCTGTTTGTGCTGAAGCGGGGCCGTTTAGGGGCCGTTTTGCTGAAGCGGGGCTGTTTAGGAGCCGTTTGTGCTGAAGTGGGGCTGTTTAGGAGCCGTTTATGTTGAAATGGGGCTGTTTAGGAGCCGTTTATGTTGAAGTGGGGCTGTTTAGGAGCTGTTTATGTTGAAGTGGGGCTGTTTAGGAGCCGTTTGGGCTAAGTCGGGGCTGTTTTGGAGCTGTTTGGCTTGAGTCGGGGCTGTTTTACTGCTAATTTTCTTCCTTCTTACCCCTTGATTAAGCCACTTTTTTTTTTTTTTTTTT